ACGCCCCACCATTACCTTGACTCAGTCACACATGGTGCAGCAGGTCCTTCAGCGCTTCGGCTTCACGTACTCCTCGCCTCAGGCCACTCCTCTGTCTACTCGCCACTCGCTCTCAGCTCTGCCTTCGGATGAGTCCGTAGAGTCGAGTGGCCCGTACCCAGAGCTTGTTGGCTGCCTCATGTACCTGATGACCTGCACACGACCTGACCTTGCATACCCTCTTAGCATTCTTGCACACTATGTTGCTCCTGGGAGACACAGACCAGAGCACATGGCTGCAGCGAAGAGGGTGTTGCGCTACTTGTGCAGTACGTCGGGCATGGGGCTAGTGCTTGGAGGGCGGAGTCCAGTGGTCCTCACTGGGCACGTTAACGCTTCTTGGGCTGACGACCAGGCTACGCAGCGGTCGTCACAGGGTTACACCTTCAGTCTTGGTTCCGGCTCTGTTTCGTGGCGGGCTACTCGCTCGTCTTCTGTTCTCGGCTCCAGTTGTGAGGCTGAGATCTACGCTAGGGCCATGGCTGCACAGGAGCTTCGCTGGCTCACCTACCTGCTGACTGACCTAGGAGAGCCGCCTCGTTCTCCTCCAGTGCTGTACGTAGACAACAAGGCCATGCTGGCCTTTTGTCGGGAGCAGCGCCTGGAGCACAGAACGAAGCACATTGCTCTCCGCTACTTTCTTGCTCGTGAGTTGCAGCAGCGTGGTCAGTTGCGACTTGCGTACGTGGCCTCTGAGGCCAACACCGCTGATATTTTCACCAAGGTACTTCCGCCTTGTGATCATCAGCGCTTCTGCACTTAGCTGGGTCTTGTGCCTGTCTTGCCTCACTTGCTCACCCCTTGACCTTGCTTGTACTCTTACATATATATATACCTGCTCTTGCTTGTTTAGCCTTATATATATATGTGTACTCCTGCATGTGAACTGGCCTTGTTGCCTTGACCTTGTGCTCGGACTGTGTGGTGACGTTGTGATCCACCCTGAGCTTTGTCTGCTTTGCTTGACTGGTCTTGTGACCCCTTGTTCTCCCCCACTTTGCCTATGGGGGTGTGTCAAATTATAATATTGTGTAGGCTATAGAGGGGTAGCCTATATGGGGTACACATTTCTAGGGTTGCATATTTGTATCACTTCCATTCCATAGTCATTCCATTCTCGTTCTACTTTCCTCACCCGCCGCCGCTCTTCCTTGCGCCAGCTCCTCCCCCGATAGACCCTCTTCCCCCTCAGGGTCCAGCCCCGTCAGGTGTGTCCCAGGTAGACGCAGTCGAGCCTGTCGAGGTAGCTGTTGACTCTGGTGCTGCTAGGGGTGCTGAGCCTGCGGGTGCTGGGTCTGGGGGTGCTGAGCCTGGGGGTGCGGAGCGTGGGAGTGCTAAGTCTAGGGGTGCTGAGCCTGCAGGTGCCGAGTCTGGGGGTGCTGAGCCTGGGGGTGCTGAGCCTGTGGGTGCGGAGCCTGGGGGTGCGGAGCCTGGAGGTGCTGGGTCTGCTTCGTCGAGGCGGGAGCTACTCTCTCCGCAGGAGCTGCGCGAGTGGTTTGCCCGCCGTTGGAGCCGTGCTGCTGGAGCTGGAGGTACTACTGTTGCTGCTGGTCTAAGACGTGCTTGTACTGGCGGTACTGGAGCTGCTGGGACTGGGGGTGCTGCTGGGGCTGCTGGAGTTAGTCCTGGTGGAGGTACTTCTGGAGCTGCTGGCGGTGCTGGAGCTGATGGTCATGCTGGTGTTCGTGCTGTTGGAGCTGCTGGAGCTGCTGGAGCTGCTGGAGCTGGAGCTGCTGGGGGTGTTGGCGCTGTTGGTTCTGCTGGCGCTGGTGCTTCTGAGGGTGCTGGAGTTGGCGATGTTGGAGCTGGAGGTGCTGCTGGCGCTGGTGCTACCGCTGGGGGTACTGGTGCTGTCCCTTCTGGTTCTGGAGGCGGTGCGCGGCCGCGAGCCTCCCGCCCTCTACTGGTCCTGCTCCTCCCTTAGCGTGTCCACAGCCTGTCCAGTCGCGGTCACAGTTACAGCCCGCCTCCCCCCTACCTGCTCCTTCTCCCTACACTGGTCCTACTTGAGGTCTTGCTGAGCGTCGTGAGCCTGCGTCTCGTCCTGCGTCGCTTGTTCGTGCTGCTCGCACTAGTGGTCGTGCTCCGCGTCCGCGTCCTCCTGCGGTCCCCGGCACACACCAGATGGCACTGCGTCCTTCAACTGCTCCTCTGCGTGTTCCGTTGCCGTCTCCTCCAGAGTCCTCTCTTCCTACTCTTGCTGACCTGCAGTCTGACTCTCTTCGTGCTGCCAGTCCTACTGTCACGCGTCTCCTGGCTACTATCGTCACTGACCCTTCTTTTGAGTCCACTACTGCGTGTGCCTTAGTTGCTGACTTGTCGACTTTGCAGCTCGCTTTCGTCTAGACTACGCTGCTATTCTTGTTGCTGAGTCTGAGTCTGTTTATCCTCCGTCCGTCGGGGGTGAGTGTGCTCTTAGCACGGACGTCCTTGAGGACAGGCGGGAGGAGTTCCAGTGCTTTGCTGCTGCTTTGCCTCATCTCGTGTCCACGCTGATTGCCCCTGAGGGAGACCCGGATGCACTTGACATCCTGACTCCTTGATCGTACGCTGAGGCGATCGAGGGTCCCTACTCCTCATAGTGGCAGTCAGTCATGGACGCAGAGATGGCTTCGTGGAAGTCCACAGGCACCTACGTTGACGAGGTTCCCCCACTTGGGGCGAACATTGTCAATGGCATGTGGATTTTCAAGGTGAAGCGGCCGCCGGGTTCTCCGCCTGTCTTCAAGGCGCGTAACGTGGCTCGAGGCTTCAGTCAGCGGCAGGGAGTTGACTACATTCAGACCTTCTCTCCCACCCCGAAGATGACCACTCTTCGGGTGCTGCTGCACATAGCCGCTCATCGCGACTACGAGCTTCACTCTCTTGACTTCAGCACAGCTTTCCTGCAGGGCAGCCTGCACGAGGAGATCTGGCTGCGCCGCCCACCTGGCTTCACTAGGTCGTTTCCTCCTGGTACCCAGTGGAGCGTCCGGCGGCCAGTCTACGGTCTCCGCCAGGCGCCCCGTGAGTGGCACGACACACTGAGGACTACACTTGCGGCTCTTGGGTTTGCTCCGTCTACTGTCGACCCGTCGCTGTTTCTGCGCAACGACACCTCTTTGCCGTCGTTCTACATCCTCGTGTACGTCGATGACTTGGTCTTTGCCACTGCTGACACTGCTGGACTCGCCCACGTGAAGTCCGAACTGCAGAAGAGACACACGTGCACAGACCTGGGTGAACTGCGCAGCTACCTTGGCAAGCAGATCACCCGGGACAGCACAGCGCACCATTACCCTGACTCAGTCACACATTGTGCAGCAGGTCCTTCAGCGCTTCGACTTCATGTACTCCTCGCCTCAGGCCACTCCTCTGTCTACTCGCCACTCGCTCTCAGCTCTGCCTTCGAATGAGTCCGTAGAGTCGAGTGGCCCGTACCCAGAGCTTGTTGGCTGCCTCATGTACCTGATGACCTGCACACGACCTGACCTAGCATACCCTCTTAGCATCTTGGCACGCTATGTTGCTCCTGGGAGACACCGACCAGAGCACATGGCTGCAGCAAAGAGGGTGTTGCGCTACTTGTGCAGTACGTCGGGCATGGGGCTAGTGCTTGGAGGGCGACGTCGAGTGGTCCTCACAGGTCACGTTAACGCTTCTTGGGCTGACGACCAGGCTACGCAGCGATCGTCACAGGGTTACACCTTCAGCCTTGGCTCCGGCTCTGTTTCGTGGCGGTCTACCCGCTCGTCTTCTGTTCTCAGCTCCAGCTGTGAGGCTGAGATCTACGCGGGGGCCATGGCTGCACAGGAGTTACGCTGGCTCATCTACCTGCTGACTGGCCTAGGAGAGCCGCCTCGTTCTCCTCCAGTTCTATACGTAGACAACAAGGCCATGCTGGCCTTTTGTCGGGAGCACAGACTGGAGCACAGAACGAAGCATATTGCTCTTCGCTACTTCCTTGCTCGTGAGCTGCAGCAGCGTGGTCAGCTGCGCCTTGCTTACGTGGCCTCTTAGGCCAACACTGCTGATATCTTTACCAAGGCACTTCCGCGTTGTGATCATCAGCGCTTCTGTACGATGCTAGGTCCTGTGCCTACTTGGCCTCACTTGCTCACTTCTTGACCTTGCTTGTACTGTGATCTTTCTATACCTGCACTTGCTTGTTTTCCTTTATATATGATCTTGCATGTGAACTGGCCTTGTGGCCTTGCTGTTGTGCTCGGACTGTGTGGTGACATTGTGATCCACCCTGAGCTTGCTTTGCTTTGCTTGATTGGTCTTGTGACCTCTTGTTCTCCCCCACTTTGTCTATGGGGGTGTGTCAAACTCATATGCTATAGTCTGTGTAGGCTGTAGTGGGGTAGACAATATGGGGTACAACACTTTTAGGTTTTCCTACAACGTGTACCCACCTGCTTGCTAGTTCATTCATTCCTTCCTCATTTTCTTCACAACCATCGCCGGGCAACCATCGTGCAGGTGTAGCACGAAAACGTGCGACGAGGGAGATCCGGATGGAAAAACATTTTGGCGGGAACAAGACAGCACAAGATTGGCGAAAGCCAATCACATTTGTTCATGCCCCTGCTCGTTTTCTTTGGAACAGTGTTCTATCGGCCCGTTTTCTGGAGCACCATTTCAAGTTGGGACAAGGTTCATTATTTTATATTCTGGTTTTAACAACTCAGTCATTTGTATTCACTCTGACCTGAGATTCAAACTTCCGCTGCAACACTACTCTGCGATCAACCCTGAGCGATCCTTCGCTAAGTCCCACTTGGGATTGTAACATTGTTGGACCTCCACTATACTCATTCACTGAAGTTGTGGCTAAATGAGCTGATTGCAAGTTCACGCATCCACTCTTCGTCACATACAACCTTCACAAATTGGAAAAAAATAAGTCGATGTCAAAGAGACTAGGATATAATAAATGCCATACCATGTTCCACCTAGAATGGCGAACTGTTTCGCAACTACAGGAGAGCAGGCGAAGCGGGGCAACAGGGACACACATTATGGTTGGTTGGGAGTGGAAAGTGAAGCACAATAGGGGCAGAAGATGGGATAGATAAGTCTGCTGAACTCATGTTACACATGCAGGAACAGTGACACAAAAATGAAGCATGGGCAGCGGTGTTGCACAACAGAATGAACAACACTTCAAGCGGAACGGTGCAAAACAGCATTGGATCTGGACCATTGAACTAATGTAAGCCCCTTGAAAAAAACCCACATGCACAGGGCCAGCAGTTACAACACACCCTAAACGAGGAATACATGTTAGGGGGGGGTATATAACTTATCTAACTTGTGTAGGTGTGCGTTGGACCGCACAGCCAATAACACAATCCTTACCACAAAGAACCTTCTTGCAAAGTCCATGGTTGCAAATCGACGACTACAGATTGTTGCAGAGAGATTGGTGTGTGTGGATGCTGTGGAGTGGAGCTACTTTGGCAAAACGAATGGACCACCACATGGATCCACAGCAGTGACATAGCAGACCCGTACCTGATTTCGTCGTTATGGTGCTGTTGCTACCGCTGCCACTATTGCCGCTGGTGTTACTGCCACCACTAGCATTGTTGCTACTGCCACCACCAGTGGGAAGGCTTGGTTGAGAAGGAGAGGCTGGGGAAGGTTGCAAGGCAGCTGTGGAATGCAGGGGCGAATGGATTCAGGACCAAGAAAGTAATATGAGGAAAGAAGTCAGAGAGATCGAGGGGGAACAGGAAGGGTCAAATCAAAGTTATTGCAAGAGAATCTGTTAGGAAGAGAATCAAGGCAGGCGCAAACAGATAGTTCAGTTGGAGGAAAGGGCTCAAATAGAGAGGGAGAGGCAGGCGGTGCGGTGAGATGGAATAATGCTGACTCCGTGGCTCCTCTCCTCTTATCCATCCTCTCCTCTTATCCATCCTCTCCTCTTATCCATCTTCTCCTCTTATCCAGAGCCTGGCGACGTTCAAGAGCTCTTGCCACTGCACTGCGCGATCGGATAAGACGGTGTTGTTGGTGATGCATTTCAAGGAATTTCTAGAGGTGGCAGCAGTGTGTGTGTGTGGAGGCGAGGGGGGAGGGGGGGTGTGCGTGTGTGTGCGTGTATGCGTGTGTGCGTGCGCTGTGTGTGTGTGTGCATGTGTGTGCGTGTGTGTGTGTGTGTGTGCATGTGTGTGTGCGTGAATGCGTGTGTGCGCGTGTGCGTCTGTACGTTTGTGCGTGTGTGTGTGTGCTTGAGTGTGTGTGTGTGTGTGTGTGTGTGTGTGTGTGTGTGCAAGCGCGGGCGCATACATGCGTGCGTGTGTTACATTGCTGCATACAACCACACTCGTAACTGGTGAGAGTGGTGTGGTGCTAGAGGAACGTTACCAGGGGGTTGAAGGGGTGGTGGTAATGCAGGCGCACGAGCGGGAGAAGACGGAGTGGTGGTAGGCAGAGGAGGCACATTGGAAAGTGGAGGAGGAGGTTGAGTAGAAGGAATGGCAGGAGGCTCAGCGGGGGTTGGTGCAGGAGGCTCGACGGGCGGGGTGGCAGGGGGTTGAGTGGGGCCAGTGACAGGAGGATCGGTTGGGGCAATGGCAGGAGGTTGGATGAGAGGGGAAGGAGCTGGTGCAGTGGAGGGTGCCGCAGCAGGAGTGGGGGTAGGAGGCAATGTAGAGTTGAGATACTCCCATGTGGAACCTGCACGGCCAGATGTTGAGGCACACAAGTGGGAAGAACTTTTGGGAAGGGGAGGAAAGAGAGAGCAGGCGGGAACAGAAAGACGTGGGAGAGGAGCAGTGGAGAAAGCTGGGTACAAAACTGAAGCTGAAACCTTATTTTGTATTCTCAGACGCGACTCATATACCCTGTGATATGTTTGTGGGTGTGATGATAATTGCAACATTGTTTAGCCAACCAAACACACATCAGGGCATAGATGCTCACAGTTGAGGGATCTAAAGCGCAGCTTCTGAGATGCGAGGTCGAACCACAGATAGTGGTCCGCTAGCCATTGCGCTGGCCGTGCAGCGTGTGAGTGGGGATCAGAACAGGGCATTGCGGGGGGAGGGAGGGAGGGAGGGAGGGGGGGGAGGGAGGGGGGGAGGGAGGGAAGGGGGGAGGGAGGGGGGGAGGGAGGGGGGGAGGGAGGGAGGGAGGGAGGGAGGGAGGGAGGGAGGGAGGGAGGGAGGGAGGGAGGGAGGGAGGGGGGGAGGGGGGGGGGGGAGAGGGAGGGAGGGAGGGAGGGAGGGAGGGAGGGAGGGAGGGAGGGAGGGAGGGAGGGAGGGGGAGAGGGGGGGGGGAGGGAGGGAGGTAGGGAGGGGGGGAGGGAGGGAGGGGGGGAGGGAGGGGGGGGGGGGAGGGAGGGAGAGAGGGGCGCACATGTATGCATCGAGTGCTTCTGCGTGTTTAAGAAAACAGGAGAACGAGAACCTTGCAGGTTCACAACCACAGCACCAGCAGTGTGTGCTGCACCAGTGATGCACTTCAACATGCATGCTGGTTAGTGAAGCGTGTCTATAACCTTCTACCAACCGTCAATCCCTTCCCCGCCTTCCTTCCCCCTCCCACCCCCCTCCCCACCCCCACCCCCTCTTCCCCTGCTCTCTGCTCCCCCCACAGCACTCACTGCCCAGGTATGCATCGTGCACGGAGTCATCTGGCAGAGGCACGGCTGCCAGGCACAGCAGTAGGTTGGCTGCTGTGGCCCCCTGGTGATGACGGCGAGGAAAGGGACGAGGAGAGGGACGAGGAGAGGGACGAGAAGAGGGACGAGGAGAGGGAGTTGATGGGGGGAGACAAGGCGGGAAGGGTGGAGACGAGATGGGAGGAGTGGGGAGGATAAGGGAAGAAACATGCAAGAATGTTCTGAGGGAATGCAGAGCGACAGAAGGTGGGCGCTGCTGCAGCAGGGTACCTTGGTAGCTCTGAGGAACCAGAGCACTCTGGTACTCTGGTAATGGTACGAGCACGTGCTAGTTAGCTAGAAGAGAACTCTGAACTACCTTGGTGTAGCAGCGACGATTCAAGAACCGTGCATCGTGGGCAGAAGAACTAGCAGTTGAGTTTGGGCAGGTCACAACTGTCTCACACACACGGAGTGGAATCAACGAGCAGGGTAGGATGGCTGACAGGAGGCCTTTGATGTGAGAGCCATGAGAAGTGGGGAGGCGGATGAGAGGGGGGAGGGAGATGAGAGTGGGGAGGGAGATGAGAGTGGGGAGAGAGATGAGAGGGGGGAGGGAGATGAGAGGGGGGAGGGAGATGAGAGTGGGGAGGGAGATGAGAGGGGGGAGGGAGATGAGAGGGGGGAGGGAGATGAGAGGGGGGAGGGAGATGAGAGTGGGGAGGGAGATGAGAGGGGGGAGGGAGATGAGAGGGGGGAGGGAGATGAGAGTGGGGAGGGAGATGAGAGGGGGGAGGGAGATGAGAGTGGGGAGGGAGATGAGAGTGGGGAGGGAGATGAGAGGGGGGAGGGAGATGAGAGGGGGGAAGGGAGATGAGAGGGGGGAGGGAGATGAGAGGGGGGAGGGAGATGAGAGGGGGGAGGGAGATGAGAGGGGGGAGGGAGATGAGAGGGGGGAGGGAGATGAGAGTGGGGAGGGAGATGAGAGGGGGGAGGGAGATGAGAGGGGGGAGGGAGATGAGAGTGGGGAGGGAGATGAGAGGGGGGAGGGAGATGAGAGGGGGGAGGGAGATGAGAGGGGGGAGGGAGATGAGAGGGGGGAGGGAGATGAGAGGGGGGAGGGAGATGAGAGGGGGGAGGGAGATGAGAGGGGGGAGGGAGATGAGAGGGGGGAGGGAGATGAGAGGGGGGAGGGAGATGAGAGGGGGGAGGGAGATGAGAGGGGGGAGGGAGATGAGAGGGGAGAGGGAGATGAGAGGGGGGAGGGAGATGAGAGGGGGGAGGGAGATGAGAGGGGGGAGGGAGATGAGAGTGGGGAGGGAGATGAGAGGGGGGAGGGAGATGAGAGGGGGGAGGGAGATGAGAGTGGGGAGGGAGATGAGAGGGGGGAGGGAGATGAGAGGGGGGAGGGAGATGAGAGGGGGGAGGGAGATGAGAGTGGGGAGGGAGATGAGAGGGGGAGGGAGATGAGAGTGGGGAGGGAGATGAGAGGGGGGAGGGAGATGAGAGGGGGGAGGGAGATGAGAGGGGGGAGGGAGATGAGAGGGGGGAGGGAGATGAGAGGGGGGAGGGAGATGAGAGGGGGAGGGAGATGAGAGGGGGGAGGGAGATGAGAGGGGGGAGGGAGATGAGAGGGGGGAGGGAGATGAGAGGGGAGAGGGAGATGAGAGGGGGAGGGAGATGAGAGGGGGAGGGAGATGAGAGGGGGGAGGGAGATGAGAGGGGGGAGGGAGATGAGAGTGGGGAGGGAGATGAGAGGGGGGAGGGAGATGAGAGGGGGAGGGAGATGAGAGTGGGGAGGGAGATGAGAGGGGGGAGGGAGATGAGAGGGGGGAGGGAGATGAGAGGGGGAGGGAGATGAGAGTGGGGAGGGAGATGAGAGGGGGGAGGGAGATGAGAGGGGGGAAGGGAGATGAGAGGGGGAGGGAGATGAGAGGGGGGAGGGAGATGAGAGGGGGGAGGGAGATGAGAGGGGGGAGGGAGATGAGAGGGGTGAGGGAGATGAGAGGGGTGAGGGAGATGAGAGGAACGAGCGAGAAGAAAGAAGGGAGCCAGGCGGGAGGGGGAGGGGGGCCGAGGTTGTAGAGGGGAGGAAGACAAGAGAAGGGAGGGAGACAAGTGAAGGGAGGGAGACAAGTGAAGGGAGGGAGACAAGTGAAGGTAGCGAGATGAGAGAAGGGGGCGAGATGGGAGAAGGGGGCGAGATGAGAGAAGGGGGGGAGATGACAGGAGGGGAGCTGAGATGAAGGAGAGTGGGCGCACGTCAAGCATGAGGTAAGTGGAGGGATGCACGTAGTAGCTGGTGTCTGGAAAGTCCAACACCACCGGGGGGAACGTCTCGTTCGTGGCCTTGCTGGGTAGACGAGGGGTGGGCAGGGGAGGGCGGAAAGGGTGGGGAAGTGGGGAAGGGGGGAAGTGGGGGGTCAGAGGTGACGAGGGAGGGGAAGAAACGGATGATGGGGGGAGATGGTTAGGGGGAGGGGATGTGGGGAAGAGGTTGTGGGTTGATAGATGCAAGTGCATGGATGGAACGATGTGAGGGTGCGACGAGTTGGGAGGTGATGGTAGGAGAGCAATGGAAAGGGGAAGGAAGATTGAAAGCACAAGGAGATGAAGGCATGGGAGAGAGGACGGGAGGAGGGAAGCGGACGAGGGGGAGAGGGAGGGAAGCGGGGATATGGGGTTTGATGGTGGGGAATGGGGGGAAGGGAAGGATTGACTAGGAAGAAAAATAATAATAAAAAATCTTGCGGTAGATTGGGACATGCAGACGCACATAATCCAACAAAGAGAGTGCTTGACTGTTGACTGAAGCAGAAAAGGCGTTAAATTGCAACGAAAACAACCCCCTGACCACAACAGAACAAGCCCCTGGCACCTGAGATACCAGCAGAAACATCACCCGAGCGCGAACAAAAAAATGCCAAAAAGCACCTGATGGGAACAGATGCGCAGGTGAAGCCATCGACATCTTGTCGAACAAGCTCGGGGTGTGAGAAGACAAGGTCCACTAGCTGCTGCAGCAGGGGGGGGCGCAGGGCGAGGTATGGAAAGGTGGTGTCCACCACCACTCCCCCCCTCGCATCCACTCTCATGCTGCCCAGTGCTGCGCTGGCTGGTAGGGGTGTGCTGCCCACTCGCACCTGCGTCACGTTGAGGTAGTAGCGTGAACTGGAGAGGGGGATTGGAAGGGGGAGGAGTGGAGGAGGGGGACGGGAGAGGGGGGAGGGTGGAGGACGGGGGCGGTGGAGGGAAGGGAAGGGAAGGGGATGGGAAAGGAGGGGGGGTAGAGGAACAGGGGGAGGGGGAAAAAAGGGGAGATGGGGGTGAGGAGGGAAAGTGGGGAGGTTGGGAGAAAGCTTCCATGAGTATAGGAGTGGGAGGGGGAGGGGAATGGGAGTGGAAGCTCCCATGAGTGTAGGAGTGGAAGGTTGGGAGGGGGAGTGGGAGGGGGAGGGGTAGGAAAAAGGAGAATGGGGAATGGGAGGAGAAAGTCCAGGAGGGTGCGGGAAGGGTACGTGGATGCACCACAATAAGTTTTGAGGCACCTCAAGAGAGCATCACAACACTGCATGTATCACGATTCACATCACTATATGGAGGCGGAAAGACAATGGCACAAACTACTCCTCCACTCTGTCACCCTCCCACCCTCCCATCCACTCACCCTTCCACCCTCCCACCCTCCCACCTTCTCACCCTAACCTCTGTGCATGCAGGGGGCGCCTCACATGTTAGCAGCGAGCATGAAGGACGTGGTTTTGAGCTTGCCGGGGTGCGGAGGGTCACCTAGCACCAGCGCCCCCTGGGCTGTGCCGCTGTCGAAGCACAGTGAGAAGGACAGCGGCAGGGGGGGCGATGCTCCCTCCCTTGCTGCTGCTGCTGCAGCGACTGCTTCTGCTGGTGGTATTGCCTCTCCTGCTGCTGCTCCCCCTGTTGCTGCTCCCCCAGGTGCTAATCCTACAGCCAAGGACAGCAGGGAGGCGGTGGTCGTGGCTGGCCCTCCAGGCAGAGGAGCTGGCGCGCTGATGGAAGCGGTGGGGGAGGCGAGCTGGGCAGGGATGGAGAAGGCGCGCGCTCCCAGGGCCAACACGCCATCCACACCAATGTCCGCTGCTGGGTCACTGCTGCTGCTGCTGCCGCTGCAGCTGTGGGGGGTTTGAGGGAGGAGAGGGGAAGGGGGGAAGGAGGAGAAAAGGGCGGGAAGACGGGATGGGAAGGGAGAAGGAGCGAGTACAGGGGGGAATGCACACATACTGAAGTTTTCCTCCCACGGATGGCCGGAAGTAAGTGGGGAAAGGAAGGGGGGGAAGGGAATGGGGGGTGCTTACTTTGAACACCTTTGCATTTCTGATTCAGGCTAGTTTACATGTTCGTGCCTCGCATGGTTGGATGCGTAAATGTGTGTAGAAGTAACCACAATGACTTTCTGGGCTTGCCAAACCAAGCTTGTAAGGTAAATCCGAGCTCACTTCAGATCTGTATTTCGAAAGAACCAGAATTCTTTCAATGGGCAGCAAGCGGCAGGCCATGCCAAGGTCACAACAGGCAGGCAGGCAAGCCACAGCAAGTCATGACTCATGCGTGCAACAGAAAAGGCAATACCCGTGACAGGCAGGTTTACCCGAAGGCGACTCGTGCACGTCGAAGCACAGAGTCGGTGGAGAGCAGAGAGAGCAGGTCCGAGATGAGTGGGCCTGCAGCACTGCCACCCGCAGCATTTGAGGCGCCTCAAAAGGCAGGCTTACCCGAAAGTGACTCGAGCGCGTCGCAGTGAGGAGCCGGTGGAGAGCAGCGAGAGCAGGTCCGAGATGAGTGGGCCTGCACTGCCACCCGCTGCACTGCCGTTGGTGGGGTTGAACGTGCACACGTTGCCTGCTGCCGCCGTTGCTGCAGCAGCTGGTGCTGATGCTGGTGATGGTGATGGTGATAGTGCTGTTGACGGTGTGGGTGCAGCACCAGTGCTGCTGCTGCTGCTGCTGCTGTTGCAGGAGAACAAGGAGGCTTGAGGGCAGGAGGGGGAGTTGCAGGGCACAGGGCGTGACGTGGCAGAGGTGGAGGGCTCAAAGGCTGTCCGGTTCTGAGAAAGCGGGTGAGGGGTGGGTGAGAGGGGAGGGGGATGGAGGGATGCTTGAGCTGGCCACGAATGCAGTGGAGTGTGTAGGACTCCTCTCAAAATGGGTAAGGGGCGAGAAAGAAGCAGAATTTATGAAAAATTTGGAAGCAAATCAGGGGCTTGGGGGAACGACAAAAGAGCGGAGGAGAAACGGAGAGCAAGTGGGGCGCAGCGCAGTGCAGTGGTGGAGTGGAGGACGCTGTCTAGATGGGTGCAGGGACGAACGACATGCATGGAGAGGAGAACCAGCAGGACGACAAGGGATGCGGCGATTGCAGGGCAGGTGACTAGGGGAGAAAGAGAGAAAGGGCACCTGGAGGATGTCGGAGGGCGCAGGACAGGAGGAGGGGGCACAGTGGCAGAGCAGCCACGAGAGGCTGGAGAGTGTGTCCACCAGCACCACCACGGCACGCGCAGGCGACCCCACCGCCATGCTCGTGTACAGCGGGCTGTGCGTGGGGAAGGAGGGGGAGGGGGTGGGGGTGTTAGGGTTTAGGGGGAGTGGGGGGGGGGAATGGGGGCGGGGAAGAGGGGGTGGACGGGGAAGGAAATGGAGAGAGTGGGAGGGACGGGCTGAGAGAAGACAGGGGCGGAGGGGGGGAGAGGGTGATGCAGTGGCAGCGGGTTTTGGAAACAGACTCGCCGGTTGGACAGTGGAGACGAGACGAACATAGGCCAGTGCAAAGAGGGCTGCAGCAACTGACCTGTATTTGAAGGGCGAGAAGACGCGGAAGACAGCGTTGTTGGTGGGCAGGTCACTGGAGCCCTGCAGGTGCACGGGCTGCCCACACCACACCATACCACACCACACCACACCACACCACACCACACCACACCACAACAAGGAAGAGCACATCAGGGATGAGAGAGAGACGGAGATAGAGAGAACCACCCCCCTGGAGGCGCTACCTGAAGCGGAATGGTCTGCGTGGGGGGAGCAGCTTCTACTCACCTTCTTGGACTCGGCCCACATCATGACCCCGAGGAGTGCCAGGGAGAGACGACGGATTTGGCGGCAGGCGGCCCTGCCGGTGACGCTGGGAGGTCTAGGCATCACTGACCCCGCCATTGAAGGCAGCTACGCCTACCTCGCTTCGGTGTTCAGCGCCGCCCACCTCCTGCACTCCCTGGAGGAGTCACTGCACCCTGCTGTTGCCGCGCTCCTCCCCTTACTGGACCCGACCCACGGCTCCCCGCAAGCGCTGCCAGCACGCCTCGCTGCTGCAGAGGCAGCTCTCCCCCCAGAGGCTCTGGAAGTGCTCCAGGCCGGGAAGGCGGACCCGAAGGGACTGAAGCTGCAGCAGTCTCTGGCACTGGCGGTTCACTCCCGCCGCTTCCTGAGGGTTATGCGCGAGGCGAGGCGGATGCGCCCCAACCCCCTTTCTGGCCACGCGCAGCGGATGCAGTCGGTGCTAGGCCCAGGCGCAGGGGACTGGCTGCTAGCGATTCCCCTCATCCCCTCGCTCCGGATGGGCCCATCCCAGCTCTCAACTGCAGCTGCCTTCCGCCTAGGCCTCCCCCTCCCAGTGCCTAGACGCTGTGACTGCCGTTACCGCACCACCTTCCCCGACGACCGCCTCCCCAATCACCTCATGCGCTGCGAGAAGGGGAAAGGGAGGATTGCTACTCACCATGCTCTTCGGGATGAGATAGCAAACATAGGGGCAGAGGCAGGCTTTACAGTACACAAGGAGACGTACGTCTACTCTCTAGTTGAAAACCTCAAGGCGGATGTCACCATCCGTCATTCCCTGACTGGAGAGGTGTGGATGTGCGACGTGACCGTGACAGACCCTATGTCTTACCAGGACGAGAATTGCAACCGTGCCCCTGGATGGGCGGCTAGGGCGGCAGCAGTGAGAAAGGAGGAGAAGTACGCTCGCAGGAATGTGTGGGTGAGGTTCCACGCGCTTGCGGTGGAGACTTACGGCTACCCCTCACCAGGGGTGATGGATGGCTTACCTGCGGCAATGCGCGGAGCTGGCGGCTAAGCTGCGTTTTAACGCAGCACCAACCTCTTACGAAGCAGCTAAGCTGCTAACGGAATACCGCCAGCGCTAGAGCGTGTGCCTCCAGCGGGCGCAGGCCAATGCCCTCCGCACCAAGACCAACGAGGCCTTGGCGGCGGACGAGCTCGACATGCAGGGACCCATTGTCCCTCTTAATGAGGGACAGCTGCACCAGTTGATTGAGCCCCCGTTCGACCACTAGGGTCGGACAGAGGGGGGGCGGGAGTGGGTTAGATGTGTGGTAGGCAGGATACCGGTTCGATGTTTGTTTGGCATGTGTTTGCATCTTCCTCTGTATCACCCCTAAATTAATGCAAGGACCATTCGAGATAGAGAGAGGTCATGACTCATGAAGTAAATGGATCGATTCGAGACAGAGAAGCCTTTCCACTGCTTACACAATGAAGGACCATTTCAAGAACAGGGGGGGAAACAATGCGCGTGGCAGAAAAGGAAGAGAACAGGGGCTCATATAGGGAGGAATGAGATTCACGTGGAGTTTCTAGTTTCAATCAACCAACCCCACATATGGGATCTCATATGGTCGTACATATGGGATTTAGATCAACCATACGTTCGCAAGGCGATTGGTAGACACGAGTGGAGGAATTAAAAGAACCAGAGGGATTCCAACATGACTCGGTAACCCAGTCTGGTAGCCGTGGCCGATAGTGAGTGGGTGGGTGGGTGGGTGGGTGGGTGGGTGTTTGTGTAGTGTTGTAGTTCAACCATCGTCATCGGCTCAAACTGGCTTCCTCTTGCATGCAGAAACGAGGTTATCTGCTTGCTGCCCATGCGCTCTCTTAAAGCCCATGCAAGGACCGTTTGGAGGGGATGCATGAGGGGGGAGGAGCGAGAACGAGGGAACAAGGAGATAGAGAGCGAAAGAAAGAGGGGGGAAAGATGGAGAGGAGAGAGGAGGAGTGGGGTGGGGACGAGACAGCAGGAAGTAAGCAAGCCCTAGTTATCTCATCCGTTGCGAAGCCCTAGTAACACCACAGCCTCTTTCTCCCACCTTCCATTCGTTCTTCCCTTCCCCACACTTCCCCAGCCCAGCTCTTCCCCGCCGGGCCGCCCCCATCCCCTCACCCTCCTTCCTCTCCCCCCATCACGCACTCCACTCCACACCAAGCAGCAGCACTCACAAGGGAAGCAGGCACGGCGGCATTGAGAGCGCCTGCAGTGTAGGGGGATCCCTGCTCATGCGCCTGTGCTGCAGGGGCAGGGAGGGCAGCGACATTAGCACGTCAGTGATGGTAGGGACAATAGGGATGGTAGCAGGGATGGCAGCGGGGATGGCAGCGGGGATGGCAGCGGGGATGGCAGCAGGGATGGTTTGGTAGTAGCAGGCCTGGTAGGAGTCGCACCAGAATCAGCAGTGCTGCCCGCAGTGCCAGCAGCGGCAGGCGAAGGCTGTTGGTCCGAGCTCCGCAGGCCTCTAGCACAGGCATGCAATGCCACGTCCACGTCACCATCCACGTCACCATCCACGTCCATGGCCCTTCCTGCACCCCAGTCCTGGACTCTCTCTTGCCCTTCCGCCTCTGCCTCCACCCTCTCGCCCCCCCCAGCTGCACCATCTACGGCACCTCCCCCGCCCGTCCCCCACACACGCTTGTCCGCACACACACCCATACCATCTCCTTTCTTCACACCAGCAGCAGAACCAGAACCAGCAGTGTTGCTGCTACCACCACCCATCCCAGATTCAGACGACCAAATGTCAGCACTTCCAGTCGCGCCCTCCCCCTCCCCTCGCTCCACACTCCTCACACTCTGCTGCCCGTTCACCTGCCCTTCCGGCTCGTTCACTTGGAAGTACTGTCCTTTCACCTGCCCGTTTGTCCACCCAGATATTACCCTTGCCGCCCAGGACCAAGACCATATCTGTTCTCTCAGTCTGCTTCCTTCGTCCCCCCACCCGCCTCCACTAACTTCTCCGCCAACCACCTCGCCCTGCGGCCTGCCAGCGCTCCCCCGTCCACCCCTTCCGCCCACGCCGCCCCCCTCCCCCCCATCTTCCGCCGCTCCTTCCGCTTCTCCCCAGCCCTGCCCCCTTTGCGTGTTACCCCGTGCTGCGGGCAGTGAAGGCTTATCAGCAGAACTCAGGGGGGCGTGGCACAAGGCGAGGAGCAGCAGCAGGCAGCAGACTGCGGAAACGACACATACGTGGCGCACGGGCCGCGTTTGGCGCTCGTAGCGCGAGTACCGCACGACGCGGCGGAAGCGGAATCGTGGCTGTGGCGCATGCGGGTAATGCCCGTGCGGTGTACGCGCCGGCATGGCCGGCGGCGCGGCGGAAAAAAGCCGGTACTGTCGAACAGAGAAGAATGAGATTCCCTAAAATTCGTAAAAAACTCGGGGTAGGGATATAACACCTCGCTACCCACTGGGTCAAAACGAGGGTGTTATTTGGCGCAGCGGAGTGCCCTTAACACAGCCCACAGGCGTTACACTCGTCCCCCCCTGGTGCCAACGTCCTCGTTGACGAACTTCAGGGAGTCGGCCCCCGCAGGAACCTGTTCGCTGTGCTCCAGGCAGCGACTTCGCTGGTGAGGTCAGGCCAGCGGAGGATCGTTCGCTGGGTCCAATCTGGTAACCACATTCAAGTTCTCGCCACAGGCGGAAAATGTGGATCAGCCAGAATTTGAACCCTAGGCTCTGATACCAGTATAACACCTCGCTACCCACTGGGTCAAAACGAGGGTGTTATTTGGCGCAGCGGAGTGCCCTTAACACAGCCCACAGAGTGCACGGTACTACTTCCTACATTCGCCAACGCGCCAGCGGGATAATTAAGAGGCTCCAGGGTAGGCAGCGGGCATCGTGTCAGCTCCGTGCGTGACAGGGACGAGGGAGGACGTAGGGCAAGGGGCACTGTGGAAACGCGCGGAACGTACTAACGCGTACAGGAACGTACGGGCGGACCAGACCGCAACTGCAGCTGACGTGAAAACCGCAAAATTACTTGCGATTGTGGGGCCGGACAAACGTTCTTTTCATTCTTTCTGCGTGTTTGTCCTGTTTTCGACTAGTACATCAGTATGGTGCGACTTTTGGCGCTACGGCAACGGTAGCACCTGCGACCAACGTTGTGCACAGCAGTGGTAGTAGAACATCCAATCCAATCCAACTGCCTTCCTGGCTCTCTTCCCACACAACGGTACGGTTGGTTGGGATTTATATCGGTACGCGGCACCTGGTGCCACGAATCGCTGCTGAAAAAAGGCGGTGCTCTGCTGATTGTGTGAAGGTTTCGAAGCACAAGTCCGCCAAGTCGGAAGTCACACACTGCACCGTCCCATTTAGATGGGGGTTGTCAAGGTTGGGACGAATGTAATTATTTCCAGTTTTGTACAGTTCACCAATCAACTTACGGTACCACTCTGTCTACCATACTTCAGATTATGGATATTGAACTTTCGTTCTTTGTGCCACTTTCTCAATCCAATTCAGCATGCATCTGCTTACCGTCATCGCCCGGATATAAGACATATATGTCTTATCTCGTACACAGGCAAAAATGTTCGAGTTATCTTGTAAACGGGATGGTTAAGGGTGTCTTATAAGTCTTATAAATGGAAAAAAAATTAAGTTGACTGTAACACTTGCAAAGTGTGTAGAAACCACCCAAAAACCAATTTCATTTAAACAGGCTGACCTCGGTGGTGATGCATGCAGAGCCCACACTTTCCACGTGAGAGAGCTGCCAACGCTGGCAACATTCCTCTGTGCTGGCAGCATCTAATGATGCTGCCAGCGTCCTTTTGCTGCCAGGAGCGCATGGATGCTTCCAGAACGCTGCTGGCAGCACGTTGGCAGCGTGAGGGCTGTCCTCTACGAGGAGATGCCTCGTAGAGGCACCTGTGGATGGGGCACTCTGGCTGGGGGGGGTAGTCGTGTGAAAATGAGAATGAGAATGCATCAACTATGAATGAAGTGGGTACATATAGGAAACCCTAAATGGGTTGTACCCCCTATGGGATACCCCACTATAGCCTACACAACAGCATAAGCTATAATGTTCTGACACACCCCCATAGGCAAAGTGGGGGAGAACAAGGAGTCACAAGACCAGTCAAGCAAAGCAAAGCAAAGCAAGCTCAGGGTGGATCACAACGTCACCACACAGTCTGAGCACAAGGTCAAGGTCACAAGGCCAGTTCACAAGCAAGAGTACACACATATATATAAAGCTAGACAAGAAAGAGCAGGTATACATATATGTGAGAGTACAAGCAAGGTCAAGAGGAGAGCAAGTGAGGCAAGACGGGCACAAGACCCAGCTGAGTGCAGAAGCGCTGATGGTCACAAGGTGCAAGTGCCTTGGTGAACACATCAGCAGTGTTGGCCTCAGAGGCCACGTACGCAAGCCGCAACCGTCCACGCTGCTGTAGCTCACGAGCAAGGAAGTAGCGGAGAGCAATGTGCTTCGTTCTGTGCTCCAGTCGCTGCTCTCGACACAAGGCCAGCATGACCTTGTTGTCTACGTACAGGACTGGAGGAGAACGAGGCGGCTCTCCAAGGTCGGTCAGCAGGTAGGTGAGCCAGCGAAGCTCCTGTGCAGCCATGGCCCCGGCGTAGATCTCAGCCTCACAACTGGAGCCGAGAACAGAAGACGAGCGAGTAGCCCGCCACGAAACAGAGCCGGAACCAAGGCTGAAGGTGTAACCCTGTGACGACCGCTGCGTAGCCTGGTCGTCAGCCCAAGAAGCGTCCGCGTGCCCAATAAGGACCACTGGACTCCGCCCTCCAAGCACTAGCCCCATGCCCGACGTACTGCACAAGTAGCGCAACACCCTCTTCGCCGTAGCCATGTGCTCTGGTCGGTGTCTCCCTGGAGCAACATAGCGTGCGAGAATGCTAAGAGGGTATGCAAGGTCAGGTCGTGTGCAAGTCATCAGGTACATGAGGCAGCCAACAAGCTCTGGGTACGGGCCACTCGACTCTACGAACTCATCCGAAGGCAGAGCTGAGAGCGAGTGGCGAGTAGGCAGAGGAGTGGCCTGAGGCGAGGAGTACGTGAAGCCGAAGCGCTGAAGGACCTGCTGCACCATGTGTGACTGAGTCAGGGTAATGGTGCGACGTGCTCTGTCCCGAGTGATCTGCAAGCCAAGGTAGCTGCGCAGTTCACCCAGGTCTGTGCACGTGTGTCTCTTCTGCAGCTCGGACTTCACGTAGGCGAGTCCAGCAGTGTCAGCTGTGGCGAAGACCAAGTCGTCGACGTACACGAGGATGTAGAACGGCGGCAGAGAGGTGTCGGTGCGCAGAAACAGCGACGGGTCAGCTGTAGAAGGAGCAAACCCAAGAGCCGCAAGCATAGTCCTCAGTGTGTCGTGCCACTCACGGGGCGCCTGGCGGAGACCGTAGACTGGACGCCGGAGACTCCACTAGGTACCAGGAGGGAAAGACGCAGTGAAGCCAGGTGGGCGACGCAGCCAGATCTCCTCGTGCAGGCTGCCGTGCAAGAAAGCTGTGCTGAAGTCGAGAGAGTGCAGCTCGTAGTCACGGTGAGCAGCAACGTGCAGCAGTACCCGAAGAGTGGTCATCTTCGGGGTGGGGGAGAAGGTCTGAAAGTAGTCAACTCCCTGCCGCTGACTGAAGCCACGAGCCACGTAACGCGCTTTGAAGACAGGCGGAGAACCCGGCGGCCGCTTCACCCTGAAGATCCACATGCCACTGACGATGTTCGCCCCAGGTGGGGGACAGCGTCAACGTAGGTGCCTGTGGACTTCCAAGAAGCCATCTCTGCATCCATAGCTGCCTGCCACTGAGAGGAGTAGGGACCCTCTATCGCCTCCGCGTAAGAGCGCGGAGTCGGGATGTCAAGTGCATCCGGGTCTCCCTCAGGGGTAAGCAGTACGGACACGAGATGAGGTGAAGCAGCTGCCAGACACTGGAACTCCTCCTGCCTGTCCTCAAGGACGTCCGTGCCAAGGGCACACTCACCCCCGACGGACGGAGGACAGACAGACTCAGACTCAGCGACAAGACTCGCAGCGTAGCCTAAGCGACAGCGAGCAGCAAAGTCGACGAGCTCGGCAACTAGAGCAGACGCAGCAGTAGACTCAAAAGAAGGGTCAGTGACGACAGTAGCAAGGAGACGCGTGACAGTAGGACTGGCAGCACAAAGAGAGTCCGACTCCGGGTCGGGAAGAGCAGGAAGAGAGGAAGCAGGAGGAGAAGGCAAAGGGGCACGCAGAGGAGCAGTGGACGGACGCAGAGACATCCGGTGCGTACCAGGGACAGGAGGAGGACGCTCACGCGAACTACGACCACTAGCGCGAGCAGGACGGACAGGCGACGTAGGGCGAGACGCAGGCTCACGACGCTCAGCAAGACCTCCAGTAGGACCAGTGTAGGGAGAAGGAGCAGGCAAAGGGGAGGTAGGCTGCAGCTGAAACTGTGGTTGGACAGGCTGCGGACACTCTAAGGGAGGAGGACCAGCAGAAGGTGGAAGACCAAGAACCTGCTGCAGGATTGGAACGAAGTACGGTCGAGGCCGCGTGGTGACGCCAGAAGCAGCAGGGACAGCACCAGTACCCTCAGTAGGAGCACCCGCTCCAGCAGCACCTCCAGCAGCTCCAGAACCTCCAGCAGCACCAGGAGCACCTCCAGCAGGACCGCCAGCGGCAGTCTCAGCGCCAACACCCGCAGCAGCACCAGCTCCAGTCGAACCCGCAGGCCCAGCAGCTCTAGTACTACCAGTACGAGCACCTCCGGGACCCGCGACGGCAGCACCCTCAGCAGCCTAAGAACCTCCAGCACCAGCAGCACGACGCCAGCGCCAGGCAAACCACTCGCGCAGCTCCTCTGGAGAGAGTGGCTCCCGGCGAGACGAAGCACCCGGAGAACCTCCTGGTGGAGCACCTCCACACGCAGTATCCCCCGGCGTAGCACACCAAGGCTCAGCACCCCCCGGCTCAGTAAGCCCTGGCTCAGCACCCCAAGGCTCAGCATCCCCAGACGTAGTACCCCCAAGCTCAGCACCCCCAGGCTCAACACCCCCAGACGCAGCACCCCCAGGCCTCGCACCCCCAGGTCCAGCAGCCCCAGGCTCAACACCCCCAGCGGCAGCACCCTCAGCAGCACCAGAGTCACTAGTGACCTCGACAAGCTCGACTGCGTCTACCTGGGACACACCTCAAGGGGCGGGACCCTGAGGGGGCAGGGGGTCTACCTGAGGGGGACCTGGTACCAGGAAGAGTGGGGGTGGGGGGAGGGACGGAGTGCGGTAGGGGAAAAGGCGGTAGTAGGGGACCGACTCGTCAAACGTGACGTCCTGGGAGGACATAACACGGCGAGAGGTGGGGTGGTAGAACTGCCACCCAGGCGCGTCAGGGGGGAACCCCAGGAAGACGCAAGGAGCAGCACGAGGGGACAGCTTGTCCGCAGACAAGTCGCGGACAAACGCCCGAGATCCCCAGACCCGGAACGCAGACGCATCGCCATCCTTCCCCGTCCACAGCAGGGCTGGGGAGGTCTCTGGCCTGGAGACCCTGAGGTGGAGGTTGAGCTGATGCGCCGCGTACCTGACCGCAAACGGCCACAGAAAATGGGGGGCAGCCGCATGCATCATAGACGTACGAGCGACGTCCATGACCATGCCAATGCGGCGCTCAGCAATCCCATTTTGCTGCGGTGAGTCCGGAAGCGTGAAGGTCTGACGGATGCCTCTTGCACAACAGAAGGCTCACAGAAGGCCAGAGGAAAACTCTCCGCCTCTGTCCGAGTGCAGACGCAAAACAGGAAAGTCCGAGCCAAAGCGCTGCCTAAGCTGAAGACGAGCTGCGCGGATCCTGTCGATCAACACCTCAGTGACATCACCCTTGCTGCGCAAGGGGAAGACTGTGGTGTAACGCGAGTAGTCGTCAACAACGAGCAGAAAGCAGCGCTCGTGACCCTGTCCACGGACGCGGGCTGGGCCCCACACGTCCATGTGAAGCGTCTGCAACGGGGCCTCTGTCGGAGGAAACTGGGAGGAGTGGGGGGCAGCCCGCTGGCGCCCCTCGACACAGGGGACACAGGCAGGGCCAGGGCCCTGAGGAAGGGGAGGGAGGGACCAGGGGAGACCAGACACAAGAAGACGGGAGGCCATGCCTCTGAGCTGAAGCAGAGAGGGGTGGCCAAGGCGGTGGTGCCAGAGGAGAGTCTCGTGAGACAGGAGACGACACGAGCAGGGGGCAAACTCTGGACCAGACCTGGACGCCGCAGCAAACACCTGACCCGACGCAGCTACCCTACCAGACTCAGCAACTGGAGAGGACGCAGTGGTCAATGTGTACAGGCTCGACCCCGGCTGACGGGTAAACGTAGTCAGGTGCCGGCCTGTGCTAGCCTCAGTACAGTGCGTCACCCGCTGATGCGCAAGAGTGAATTGGTGTACTCCCCCATCCTGTAGGTCAGCACCACTCACCAGGTTCGTCGAGAACGAGGGGAGGTAGAGACCAGACAGGGTGCCAGAGGGAGCCGCCGGACAAGGGAGGACTGTGGAGAAGCGAGACAGGACAGGACCCCCAGAGGGGTCAGCTAGAGACACCGCAACCGGCCGACTAAGCGGCGTGAGTGTGGTGCGGTCTCGAAAGAAGGAGCGAGACGCCCCAGAGTCAAGGGTGAAGGTGAGGGAGGCCGAAGCGGACGTAGTACCTGAGAGCGCAGACTCACCAGTACCTGAGGACGCAGACACACCAGCACCTAGAGCAGCAGCGTCGCACGCACCTAGGGCAGCAGCCGTACCAGTACCTAGAGTAGCAGTCTCAATGCCCGGATCGGGCGGGAAACACCGGTAACAGTCACCCTCATCACTAATAGACACAGCATACATGGCAGAAAGAATAGCATCAAAGTCAAGATCAAAGATGGCCACACCCTCCCTAGACAGCTCGCCCCGGCGAGGGATCTCTTAGGCCTCCGGGAACTGGTGACGCCACGCGTCCGTCAGGCGGCCAAAGCAGCGCTGGGTGGGCCACACTGCTCACCCGCACGGTCGCCGGTGCGCAGGACGTAGGTGCACGGTCCAAAACCCCCACCCCGCTGGCGTGCAGTGTACCACTCACGGAGCTGCTGAGGTGACAGGGTCTCACGACCGCGCTGCTGCTGCTGGCGCGAGGCACCACCGGAGCCACTCCTCTGCGACGACCCGCGACCAGCTCCACCGCCACCCCCACCGCCTCCGCCTCCTCCGCTGCCTCCACCACTGCCGCCGCCTCCGCCGCCGCCTCCACCGCCGCCTCCTCCGCCACCTCAGCTTCCACCGCCACCGCCGCCGCCGCCTCCGCCTCCACTGCCGCCACCGACCCCTCCACCCCCACCTTCACTCCCACCGCCACCCCCACTCCCCCCACCGCCTCCACCTCCACCTCCACCGCCCGCTCCTCCAGCTCCCTTGCCCCCCTTGCCCTTGCCAGGGCGGCGTCTCCCGCTAGGGGCAGACGCCGCGCCGACCGACTCAAGACCAAGGATGTCGGCCGCAGCAGCAGAGGCAACAGAGGGCAGCAGGGGGGAGGGAGAACACCCCTCAAAGATGGGGGTGCGCGGGTCACCTCGAGAGGCTCCTACAGCTACAATGCTCTTCTCTATCGCTAGGAGGGCCTTTTCGAGGAGGTCTACGGTGAGCGTGGTGGGACAGACTGAGAGAAAGTGGTCCCTGACTACGCGAAGGGAGTCAGGGAGGCGAGTGACTAGGAAGTACAGAGTGATGTACATGGGGGGGGGGGGTTTGCGGCGCAGAAGTCAGCAGGGAGTGCAGCGCGGTAGTGAGTGTCACTAGTGCGGAGGTGCGTGATGAGGTCAGCTACGGTGGGAAAAGCAGCAAGGTCAGGGAAGAGGTACGGCAGAATGAGACGGCTCAGTGCAGCAGTGGCAGGGGAGGAGTAGCGCGCGACTACAGCGTCGTACAAGGTCTGAGCACTCTTGTATTGGCTAAAGTGCGCACGCTCGGAGGTAGGGAGGTGGCGACGCACGGCAAGACGTGCAGCAGCGTCGCGCGTGGCCCACTGGGAGCGAACAGTGGCGTCAGCATTAGCAGTAGGGGCAGAGGAAGCGCCAGAGGTAAGGTCAAAGAGAGAGAGGCCGTTGTCCTATCGCACTGTAGGAACAGCTGCAGGTCATCGACCCAGACCTCAAAGTCTACGGCTCGTCCCTCAGCGTCAAACGTGAGGACACTAGGGGTAGCCATGACTACAGATGACGAGCAATGTAAACAGTAGGGGAGGGAGGGCCGTGCAGGGGGAGAAGGCACTGTGCTCACCAGACAGGGCAGCTCTGACGGTCCAGCTGCTGGGCGGCTCGGTGGCAGAGCGGCTCGGCGGCGGGGCGGCAGGGCGGCAGGGCGGCTCGGCTTCCGGGCGGCTCGGCGGCAGGGCGGCTCGGCTTCCGGGCGGCTCGGCGGCAGGGCGGCTCGGCGGCAGGGCGGCTCGGCGGCAGGGCGGCTCGGCTTCCTGGCGGCTCGGCGGCAGGGCGGCTCTCGTGCAGGGCGGCGTGGCGGCGCTCTCGTGTAGGTATGGCGGCGGGTGAGCCGCAGTTAGGGTGGCGGGTGCGCCGCAGGTAGGTCGGCGGGTGGCCGCAGGTAGGGCGGCGGGTGCGCCACAGTTAGTTGGGCGGGTGGCCGCAGGTAGGGCGGCGGGTGCGCCACAGGTCGGTCGGCGGGTGGCCGCAGGTAGGGCGGCGGGTAGGGCCGCAGGTAGGTCGGCGGAGGGCCGTAGGTAAGGGCGGCGACGGGCCGTAGGTAAGGGCGGCGACGGGCCGTAGGTAGGGCGGCGACGGGCCGTAGGTAAGGGCGGCGACGAGCCGGTGCAAGGGCGGCGCGAAGGCGCGGGTAAGGGCGGCGACGGGCCGGGGCGGCGCGAAGCCGCAGGTAAGGGCGGCGACGGGCCGGGGCGGCTCGAAGCCGCAGGTAGAGGCGGCGCGAAGCCGCAGGAAGGGCGGCGACAGGCCTGGGCGACGCGAGGCCGCAGGTAGGGGCGGCGCGAAGCCGCCGGTGAGGGCGGCGCAAAGCCGCGGGTAAGGGGGGCGACGGGCCGCTAGGTGCGACTCGACGGGCAGCTAGGTGCGACTCGACGGGCCGCTAAAAAAAAGGCAGGCGCGACTCGAGGCGCGCTTCGGTGGGCCCAAGGAACAGTCCCTAGGAGGGGACCTGCTCTGATTCCATGTGAAAATGAGAACGAGAATGCATCAACTATGAATGAAGTGGGTACATATAGGAAACCCTAAATGGGTTGTACCCCCTATGGGATACCCCACTATAGCCTACACAACAGCATAAGCTATAATGTTCTGACAAGTCGGGCTCTCACTTCATTTCGTGCTCAAGGAGGTTGAATACTCGTCTCAACCTTGCTCTCGGCAGGCTCTCTAACCATGCGCAGCAAAGTACCAGTTGGCAAGTCCTCACCTCGTCCTCACGTGCAGGTTAATAACTACGGGCGAATTAACTCGCCCGGCGATGACATCCGTGTAGCCATGGCGAAGAACGCGAGCAAGGCGGCAAGTCCTACCGCCGCCTCCGGTGCGAGCTGTGACGGGGACGACGGAGACGAAGCGAACGGCGACGACGCCGAGGAGGATTGGCCGGAGAACGGCCACGACGACAGCGCTTCAGGCGACGATGTAGGTCCTGCTGACATCGAGGAGGACGACTGGTGGAATCGGCCGGCCGGGAGCGACGACGAGGTGGAAGAGTGGCATGCTGGTGATTCCGACAACGACGGAGGTAAAGATGCGCATGGTAACAACGCGGAGGCAGCGGCGGATGCACAGGAAGCGGCGGTGGATGCGAATGAGGAGGCTGACGACGAGGCGGGGGCAGAACTTGAGACATTTGCGCCTACGGATGCGGCCGCAGTTGCGGATGCGGAAGGCGAGGAAGGCGGCGACGACGACCCATGGAGCTTTGGGATTGACGACGACGTCCGGCTACTGAAGCCGAGGCTGCGCCATCGCCTACAGTCCAAGTCAAAGCGGGCCCGCGTGGTGCTCTCTGACGACGACGGTCCGGGGGAGGAGCGTCGCCCGATACTCACCACTGCGGAGAAGGGGAAAGCCAAGGTCGCGGAAGCCCCTGCTAAGGCCCCTGCTAAAGCCCTTGCTCGTCGCCGCACAAGCAACAAGAAGCTGACATCCGACGGAGACCCGGGATCCAGCAAGGGTGTGGCTAAGAAGAAGGCGAAGAAGGCGCCGAATCCTGACGACATCGTCGTGAACGAGCCGCTGGGCAGCGACGATGAGTACGCGGCGGCGGCGGGCCCGATTCCCACATTCCCTGAGAAGGTAACGCCGAGGGACCCCACCCTCCATAATCCCAACACCCGCCCACCTTCCCCTCGCAGCAAAGACACTACGAAGAAGCGCCGCAGTTGGACCGTGCGTGAGAAGCTTAAGTGGGCGCGCCGCTATCAGGAGCTCGGCTCCTTGAAGAAGACGAGCGTGGAGTCAACCGCGTCCATCGCCTGCATCAGACGCTGGTGTGCGGAGGCGGAAGCGGGCGTCTACAAGGGCGCGGCCAACTGCCGCAAGCGGATGCACGGGGGGGGGCGCCACTCACACTACCCCGACATGGAGGCAGCGTTGTACCGCTACATCTGCCTTCAGCGCGCTAACGGGGTGGCCATCTCGGTGAAGGACACTCAGAAGTGGAGCCGCGAGTGGATGAAGAAGCATTACCCCGGCAAGAACTAGAACGCAAGCTCTCACTGGAGCCAGCGTTTCCGTGACCGCTGGAACCTGGTGATGCGGGTGAAGACCAAGGTCGGCCAACGTCTGTCGGCAGGTGCGTGTTGAAGGATTTCGTCTGGCGCTCTATTGAATGCATGTACCTCACCCAGTGTCTAACCATCCCGTGCTTTCGTTGCGCTTGTCCCGTTTGCAGAGTGCGCGAAGGACTGCGAGTCCTTCTGGAAGTTTGTGCGCATCAACAGGGCGCGGCACAAAATCGACCTGGCCCGCATCATCAACGCGGACCAGACTCCACTATTCGTGGAGATGCGAGCCGAACGGACGATCGAGCACCGTGGCGCGCGCTCGGTCCCAGTCCGCACTGCAGGCTACTAGAAGACGCGCTTGACGGTGATGCTCGCGTCCACTGCATCCGGGGAGAAGCTGCGGCCGTGGGTGTGGTTCAAGATGAAGAACGTCCCCAACTGTGAGATTCCGGAAGGTAAGCGAGCGTGAATTCAACCGTGCGACTGCCTGATGAGCGTGCCCCACAGTGGTGATGCCCGTCTGTCCCTTGTTTGCCTGGCAGGAATCGTGGTCCAAGCACAGGACAACGGGTGGATGGACGAGACCGTTGTGCAGACCTGGCTGTCCAAGGAGGTGCTGCCTCATCTGAACCCCCAGCGCGGCCAGAACGCAAGGCGGGCGATGCTGGTGTTGGACTCCTACCGCGGTCACATCACCCAGACCATGCTTCAGTCGTACCGCACGCACAGCATCACCCCTGCAGTCATCCCAGCGGGTTGTACGAGCCAGATTCAACCCCTGGACGTCTCCATCAACCGGTGCTTCAAGGCTGCTGTGCGAGCGCGCTACGCCAGGTGGTTCATGCGTGAAGGGATTCACCTGAAGACGAAGAAGGGTGAGTTGGTCCTTCATTTACGGTTTTATTCATGTTCTGTTTCGTGTCCTTGTCTTAAACATGCTCCTTCATATCCGTGTCTCTTACATCTCGCTGCCCCGTCCTCTGTCCCACCCGCAGGGAACCTGCGGAGGCCTCCGCACCCCGTGGTGCTGCAGTGGATCGCGGAGGCTTGGGATCAAGTCCCCAAGCAGATCATCATCGACGCGTTCCGCCACTGTGGGATCTCGAGCAAGCTGGACGGAACAGAGAACCACCTGGTGATGTCTCACCTGCGCGCCAGGAGCACCACCGATGTCTCCGCGGACATGTCTCTCGGGGGGACCACAGGCGACAACACGCGCCTGCTCGGTCGGGCTCCAGAGGAGGAGGAGGAGGAGGCGATGCAGGCGGAGGGCGTGCGGGAGGTGGCCGTGGCAACCGGCCTGGAGGTGCTGTACCAGGAGACCCCCAACTACCGCGGAGCGGCGGCCGAGGCTGACCGCATGATCGAGCCTAGGGAGACGGCTAGGCATGCCTGACGAGTGCCAGACCTGGGTGTAGAGCCTGATGTTAGTGCAGGTGAGGAGGCGGTGACTGAGGGGGGTTAGGTAGAAGTAGAGATTCATGACTGTATGCATGTACCCCCCTAAAGTAGGAAAGCTAGCTAAGAAGACACCCCCTGTTTATAAGAAAACCCCTAAACCCTGGTTCTGATTATAAGACATATATGTCTTAACTCATACACACAAATAGGTGTCGTATAAAAAGGCTAGCTTGTTTATGAGAGACACCTGTATAGTAGACAACCCGTCTACTATTCAACACTGTCTTATATCCGGGCGATGACGGTACTCTTGGTGTTCGTAATGTAGTATTCTGGTCTCATAGTGAATGTACATGACTCAAGTGTTCTGGTTGCAATGTTGCCTCTCAAACTATCTAGTAGCAAGGAAAGCCCAGCAGCACTTCTCAATTTCAAATCACCTCCAGTATACTCTCGTTCCAAACTTCCAGCAGGGTGACTTGAGAGGAAGTTCTTGTAGGTATGGGCTGGATAGACCAATCAGAGCCAGGTATTCTGTTGCTTGGTGCTGCTTTGACCTGGTTTGACTCAGCCACATGCGGTGGTTGCATCTACCCGCAGCTTCGGGTGGTTGTAGCGACACTCGTTGCCGAACCTGCAGTTGCCGGTCCTGACATAGTGCTGAGGTTTGGCAAGAGATTGCAGGTGGGGTGTCGAGCCAAAAGTGGTGGAGAAAGAAATGTGGGGAGAAGAGGGGGGGGAGGGGTGGGGAGAAGTGGATGGCAGGGGAGAGGTCGGGAGGTGAGGGGGTAGAGCGAGAAACAGCATTAGTATCAGAAAACAAGAGAAATTAATACTTGCTGTGCATCAGAGGTGCCAGTTATTGCACAGCAAAGGTAGAATGGAAGGGATGGTGATGGTGGCGGTGGTTGGAACGGGGTTGACAAAATGGTGAAGTGGAGGAGATAGGGGATCAAATCCAAAGAATCAAAAGCTGTAGTGCATATCGCTTCAAGAGCAGCGGTGGATTGGAGACAATGCTACCATGCTTCTGATTGGGACTGTGTGAGAGAGTACATGGCAGGACAAGGACCTGGTTCAGAACATGGAAACCCGTGAGGGTGACAAGACGAAGCATAACTTGGCGAATAAACAAGGGGTGAGAAAAGTGGGGGGATGCATTCAGACAACTACTACCACCTGGGGTACCATACCATGCCCATTGTGTTCTGTTGACATAACATAACATGCACAGAGGCATGCGGGTGAACGTACAGCACAGTCTGGCAGGCCAGGCCTCTCCGGGTGCTTCTGATGGTGGTACAGACGAAGGCGCGGCCCCGCAGGCAGCAGCCATGCCTCAGACAGCTGCTCCTCCCACTCCTCCCACTCGCCCTCCCCCTGCCGCTGTTGCTGTGGTGGCTTCGAGAGCAACACATCTTGAGCATAACCAGCACCAGCAGCAGGTGAGTAGGAGGAGGTAGTGGTAGTGGTGGTGATGGTGGTGGTGGTGCCACGAGCAGCCAGTGCTTTGCCCTGAGTGCTGTTGCCCTCCGTCCCTGTGGTCGCTGCTGCAGCTGCTGCTGATGCCAGTGCTGCTACTGCTGGTGCGGATGATGCTGCAGGTGCAGTGAGCAGTGAGGAGTCTCTATGCGGCTGCCTTGTGGCTAGGCCTGGTGTGGTAGCGGAAGGGGAGTGGGCAGGGAAGGCATGGGAACGACTGAGGCATGTGCACGCATTGTACGCACTGTGACCAGCTGCCATGGTGCGGTGCGGATGAGAGACATATGATGTGTGCGGTGCGGACGAGAGACATGTGATGTGAGATATGCTATGTGCCATGTGGCATTTAGATTTTTGCATGTGCCGTGAGTCATGAAACACACACACACACACACACACACACACACACACACACACACACACACACACACACACACACACACACACACATTTACAATCATGACACCCTGAGTGCACATGGGAACGTGTGCATGCGAAGAGGTCTTCTTGTAAACTCGACCATTGATGACGCTGAGATGTACAAATCATGGCATACCCGCAGCAGAGATGGGAATGTGTGCATTGCATACGGGGAGGGAGGAAGGCCCGGTGGTGGCGAGCCATGTGGGGGTGGTTGAACTTGCATGCCGTGCCATAGCGACAACTGGCGGGCATTGCAGTTGAGTGTTGATTGGGGGAAACAAGGACAGGGAACGGGGATGGGGAAAGAGGGGATAGTGGGGGGGGAAAGGAGAGGAGAAGCAGCAACAGAGGGAGGATGCTTTGAAAAAGGTTAGGGCGAAAGATGAGTGCAGGAAGGGAGTGGGGCATATGCGTGTGGGGAGGAGGGCAGATGAAGGGAAATAGACACTGGTGCACGGGGCAAGGCGAATGAGCGACAGCATAGCACAGCAACAGATGAAAGTGGCATGCTCTGCAAGGTGCAGCAGCCACACAAATGTGTGCAGCGTACAGGGCCTTACTTTCCACTCTTGAGGTAGAACGAGCAGTCAGGCCTCTCCTGTACGCAAGCGGCATGGACAGGAGAATAGAGGCAAGGGAGGAAGAAGAGCAACGTAAGATGGAGATGCAAGGGCTGATCAAGGAAAGAGGGGTAGAGAGAGATCCCTTCCCTTGGGTACGTTATACTTTTCCCTCGGGGAAATGTACTTGACATTTACATCTCCCCGACTGCCCCTGCCCGTTTCCCTTCCCTAGGGTACTCAAGCTCTGGAGCTTTGCTTTGAGCGCCATACTTCACTGGCAATCTTCGCTTCTTCATGCCTTGGAAGCCCCGCCTAGAAGCCCCTAGTACCGGTGGCCTTCTCCCACCATCACTTATTCTGCACCGCACCTTTCAGGGCAACGCCATGGTTTTCCTTAGGTGCCTCAAAGATCGTATCAGAGCCACGGCATGGCATGGCATGGCGCGCATCATCATGCCAGCAAGTTTAAGGGTCCTTGTGTTGCAGCGATTTTAGGGCAACAAGCGGTGCAAGCAAGCAAGCAAGCAAGCACACGCAAGGAAGAGGGCACACGGTCCATCAACACAGCACATAGGCAGTGGGGCAAGCAGAGGGCGCCAAACTGGCACATTAGCGCGCCGCGCACAGCACAGGGCGCTCGCATTCGATTCCATTCAGTTTCTGCAGCGCTGGTCAGAGTCACCCGGCACTGAGCAAGGGGGGTGCTTCACGGTATGTAGATCAGTTTGAGAGGCCTCAACCATTGCCCTTGCAACAAACGAAATTGATCAATTGACTTGCGGCGAGCACGCAAGTATTTGCTTCTTACTCGCTTTGGAAAGCAAGAAAAAATACTCGGGAGGCATATGCTCGAGAGCGATTCATTTTTCGCCGCCAAGTGACCCCCTCACGTCGAAACAGAGGTTTACTATCACCATAAATCATACACATGTGTAAATACATACATGTGTGTATATATACACATGCATAAAAACATGTATGCATGTATGTATATGTGAATACGTGTGTAAAGTCATTGAAATATAAGTACATATGCTTTGTAAGTGGGGGACGAAGGAAAAAGGGGGCGGTTTCGTTCACCCATATAATACCTACAAGTACCACTTGCCTTGCCAGGAAAAATTCTTCCTGACATGTAGAAATACGTGTCCTTCAGGGATGAGTAACTCGGCGGGCATTACTTGCCACAGTACTACCCGCCTGGGAGTGGCGGGGCGGGTCACACACACGACTGACCCCCACGAGCAACTTACTGCATGCGTTCAATTTTGAACCAGCGCAAGAACTTTTTGAGGCGCCTCATTGGCAACCTGCTGTATGTGTTGGATTGGAAGTGGCGTAGGAGCATCCTCGGGAAGCATGCTTCTCTATCCTATGTGTGTCTGCTGCTATCTGATAGATACCAGAGAAGGACCATCCAGGAGTGAGTGGCAAGGGAGGAGTGCGCCCGCATGAAGAATCGGTACTGAGGCGCCGAATCACGCAGCGCTTTTTTCGAAAGGCCCCGTGCTAAGGCTCGTGAAAAATCGGAGAGAGGAGTGGCAAGCAAGCAAGCAAGCATGCTAAACCGCAATGCAGTTGGCTGTGCTGCCGCATTGTGGTGAGAATCTCTGTTCTTTGAAGACCCCGAGGGCACAAGGCTTGCACGCAGAGATGAGGGAACAAACCAAGAGGTCAAAGAGGAGAGAATGGGCCATGTCATAAGTCATGTTTTGAGTGGACTCAAAACAGTGGGCCATGTCATGATGAGAAGGCAGTGAGCAAGGAGGGTACGTACAGGACGTAGAGGCAGGCCCCTCGAATTGAGCGCAACACTGTACGGCACAGCTGCTGCTGCTGCTGCTGCTGCTGCTGCCGCTCCCAACACATCACAAGGAGAAGACATGGAGTGTGGGTCTGTGGAAACTCGCTGCTGCACGGACACCACGGCTGCTGTGGCTGCTTCAGATGAGGAGAAGGAAGACGTGGGGGAGATAGAGGGAGAGGAGGAGGAGAAGGAAGGGGGGGAGGGGGAGGAGGAAGACGGGGAGACATCATGCGGCAAGAGCAAGTCTGTCGGGATAGCCACTGGTGCTGCTGCACCTCCCTCGGATGGCGGTGGGAAGATTGCAGCATGTGCTGCTGCTGGGCTGACTGATACTGAGAGTGCCCCCAGTTTTGCATGCAGCTGCTGCTGTGCCTGTGCCTGTGCCTGTGCCTGTGCCTGTTCCTGTGGCTGCGGCGGTGGTGGCGTAGTGAGGCAGATGGGCTGAGAGTGTTGCTCACCACAAGACGACCATGCAGACGCCAACACATGCCATTCATCCGCTGCATGTGCAGCACCCATGCCATACAGATGTGCATGTGCATGCGCGCGTGCATGTGCAGTGAGTATGGGAATGGGAGGTGGCAGCTGATACATGCTGATCCCAGCCCATTGCACTCCCGTGCTCGTAGTATGCTCATCGCCAGCAGCAGCACCGCTACCAGCAACGGCAATACTATTGACAACAGCAATACCATCATCACCACCATTGTCAGCAGCGGCGGCAGCAACAGCAGCTGCTGCAGCAGAAACAGAAGCAAAAGCTGAGTCAGCTAGTCCCGGCCATAGCTCAGACTCAGCTGTAGGTGCAGAGAAGCTCGCCCCAGCACCATCCATAAGCCATGATGACATCACATGTGCCTTCATCCCACGCGCACTGGCACTGCCCATGCTGCAAGCACCAGGCAGCTGCTTGCATGGCATGAATGGCCCGCCTTGGTTCTGGTATGAACCAAGAACAGGCATGGGAGCAGGCATGGGGGGAGCAGGAGACACCTGGGAGCTGCTGCTATCATCGCTGCATGTGCTGTCGTCGCTGCTCACACTGCTACGCCCGCCACTGCCAAACCCACTGCCGAATCCACTGCTGAGACCACTGCCAAAGCCACAGCTGGAGAAGCTTTCACTGCAGTTCCACCTGCTCGGGCCTGCAACCTCCAAGTCGCTGCCGTTACCGCCGCTGCAATTGCTGCTGCCATTGCTGCTGCCATTGCTGCTGCCATTGCTGCTGCCATTGCTCCTGCCACTACTGCTGCTGCTCAGCTTCCTGCTGGCCTCTTCCCCCTCCACTAGCCCACCAGCAAATCGTGGCTCGTTATAAGCAACTGCTGTCCCGTTACAAGCAGCCTGTGCTTGTGCTGAGAGGGAGGAGGGTGGAGAAGGCAGTGTGCCATATAGTGGAGTAGGGCCTTGAGGGAAGGGATGGAACGGAGGAGCAAATGGCGGCGAGAAGAGAGGCGGGGGGAGGATAGGAGTGAAGACAGGCGTAGGAAGGGATGCAGCAGGGTCAGAATTGGTGCATTGAGGCAGATTCGCTCCCATGCCGCTCTGAGTCAAGTCTCCAAGCACAGTACCACCAGACAGAGCTAATCCGGCATACAAGCCACCAGCGGCAGCATCACCAGCAGTATCAGCAGCACCAGCCAGCACTTCACAACCCGCCAATGCAGTGAGAGGAGGAGGAGGTGCAGCAGCAGCAGCAGCAGTAGCAGTAGCAGAGTGGAACTGGTCACTCCCCATAGCAGCGCACATGCTCTCTGTCCCACGCAACCACGCCGCTGGTATACCTGCCGCAACACCTGTGCCCGCAGCAGCATGCAGCGCAAAGCCATGATGTGACGCCGTAACAGCAGCTGCACCACCAGCTGTAGCAGCAACAGCAGCAGAAGCAGCAGCAGCATCAGGAGCAGCAAGAGCAGGAGGAGGAGGAGACACAAGTGATACGCAGCGGGCGCCCACATAGCTGCTTGTGTGAATAAGGTGAGGGTGTGCAATGACCCTGTCGGTGTTGGCGTCAGTGTGGGTGCCAGCATCATCAGCATCAGCATGAGCATCAGCATCATCAGCTATCAGTGCATCCACAGCTGCATCTAGCACTTGCAGCTCCAACAACCCATCCACATCGCCATCCCCATCCCCATCCCCATCCCCATCCCCATCCCCATCCTCATCCTCATCCTCATCGTTAGTATTGCCAGCAGCAACGCCACTGTCGGATCTACGAGCATCACCATCACCATCACAAACAGCATCAGCCTGAGCATAAGCACCAGGAATCACCCATGCGCCCTGGCTTCCCACCACCACCCCAACACCACCGTCCCCAGCGCCAACACCGAGCCCCCCTGCAGTCCAGCCCTGGTGAGCTTCAGAGATGCCCTCCCTCGCTTGCCACTCTTCCGCAGCAGCACCCTGGTTCACAACCCCATCGCAAGACCTATCCTCCTCACCCCTCTGCTGCTCATGCTGTTCATCCCCTTCCCTGCCATGCTCTCCTATCCAGCACAATATAGGGGTGGCGATAGCAGTAGATAGAGAGGTAGAAGCCAAGGCAGAGGCAGAGGCAGAGGCAGTTAAACAAGCTCCTGCCTGCATGGCCCCCTGCTGGTCACCTCTCTCCTCAACCTCCGAACCCTTCTCCCCACTCTCATCCCCACTTTTGAGGCACCTCAAAAGTTCACTCTCATCCCCACCTCCTCCCCCACCTTCCCACAAGCCACCCTTCTCACTGTGCATGCCCACTTTCCCCTGCTGCAACCGCACTCGCTCTCCCCTCCCTGCAACGCCTCGCCAACCCCTCGCATGCGTGCAACCACTCCCTCTCCCCGCTCCCCACTCCCCCTCACTCTTTTGCAATCCCATTATTACATCCCCACACTGCAATACCTCGCTCCCCACCACCACCACTCCCCCATCCCTTGACCTTTCCCTGCCGTACATCATACCTCCCCTCTCTCTCCTCATAACATCCTCCTCCTCCTCTTTCCCTCCCGTCTCTTGCATCAATCTCCCGTCCCCCCTTCCCGTTCCATCAATCCCATCGCTCTCCTTTGTTCCCTGGCTTGCCACCCCATCATGACTCCAGCACACAGCAGTCCTCGAAATTTGGGCTGGGACCTGTTGAGCCACCTGCACCACGACACACACACACGCACGCACACATGCACGCACACATGCACGCACACACGCACGCACACACGCACGCACACACACGCGCACCCACGCACGCACGCACCCACGCACGCACGCACGCACGCACGCACGCACGCACGCACGCACGCACGCACGCACGCACACACGCACACACGCACGCACGCACACACGCACACACACGCGCACGCACACACGCACGCACACACGCACGCACACTCGCACGCACACATGCACGCACACATGCACACACACAGCACACACGCACGCACACACGCATGCAAGGACGCATGCACACACGCATGAATACACAAACCCACACACGCACGCACACACCCACACACGCACACACACCCACACACACCCACACACACACACTCCCACATCGCAACACGCATTCAGGAAAAACGTCAGCGCCCCCAAATTCTCAACAGCATCTCAGAAGCGATCATTATCAGACTAGCTACTCGAAACACATTGCGCTGACACTCCCAAGACTCTGCTAAAGCTGGTCTGCGGGCCGGGCCCCATGGAATAAATCCACCTGATGCCTTCGGTGGTTCCGCCTATTGCCATGCAATGCCATTCTACAGCAAAACGCAGGCTAACCTCACGCCGGCACGCAGACGCACATGCACACCTACCCTCCCTACACCACTCCACGGGTCTACTCACACCCTCTTGCCCTGTCCCCTCCCATCTCCCCCCTCCCCCTCGTCTCACCGCCGCTGGCGTGGGTGGCGGAATAGCCAGTGGCGCGCTTGGCACAGGCGCGGTGGTGAAGGGCGCGCTGTAATAGGCGAAGGACGAGCGCAGCAGACACGCGGAGAAGGCGGAGGAGCTCATGGCGGGGGGGACTGGGAGAGAGCGGGGGACAGGGTGAGCAGGGTCGGGATGAGAGAGGGGGAGAGGGAGGGAAAGGGTGAATTAGGAGAGGCGGAAGGGCAGGGACAAGGGGCGACTTGACAGGCCAAAGATTGATGCTTGTCCGGCTGTTGGGATTTTGGAGTGAGCAGTGCGTTTGAATGAGTGTGCATGTGTATGTGTGTGTGTGTGTGTGTGAAAGAGAATGCTTGCGAGTCGAAGAGAGAGAGGGAGGGGATGGGGGGAACGGGCAGCAAAAAGAGAGACCGTGCAACACAATCAGGAGGTGGCGATGGAAGGAAGCAAGGCTGAGGTTACAAATAAAAAAAAAGCAGGCGTAACAAGAAAAAACTTAATAGAAAGAAAGAAACAAAAAAACACCAAGGAAGAAAATAAATCAACAAACTAACTAACTACCTTAATTGGAGCCTTTGGCCCCAATGGCACTGTCAGACATATTGCATAGACGCCCCACGTCTCATCCTTTGCACCTCTTCCACCCAACCGCCTTGCGTCCGTCCCGGCTTCCTCAATCCCTCTCCCCCACCTCCAACCCAAACCCTTCCTCTTGTCCTATTTCCCAACCACCGTTCTCCATAACCTAGATTTAAATAGACATTTTAAGTCGCACGCAGATATCGAATTTAGATTTCTAAAGCATACAAATCTCATTACCTTCTACTTGCGACCCCCTGCTGGAGACGCGGGCCGTTTCCCGCGGGGGCAGCACGCCTGCCACGTCGCGAATTCCTCTCGTGTCAACGGATGACGTGGACGCTGCGGAGGATGCGACGTGCAATGCTGACGTGGACGATTGCCGCCACTCATACGCCTGCCCTTCAACGACACGCGGGCTACTGCAAATAGCTCGCGTCGACGTCGTGCTGGCGCCACCGCTGCCGCCGCCGACGCCGCCGCCGTAAATTCCGCCGTCTACCGCCATGCTACTGGGTCGCAATGGCTGTTGTTTCCCGGCGATGAGGAGCGAGCCACGTGGCTCAGAAATGAACTGCCTGCGACCACCGCCCGTCCGCGAGTCACCCACCGTCATTGGCGCTACCACTACTTCCGCGGCGTCTGAGACATGCGCCTCGGGGGGCGTCGTTCTCATGCCGCGCGGTGGAGGCGCTTCTGACAAGTGGTCGCATGGTGCCGTGTTTTGCGGCGGAGAAAGGACGGACATCTTGCGCGTAGCTTGTGCGCCTGCAGCATAGGACGTATTGGACGATGCCGCGTAAGCTGCGGCAGACGCGGGAGCAACGGGAGAATCATTCCTAACAGCAGCAGAGGCAGCAGGGGCAGCGACGGCAGCAGCGGCAGCGTGGGACAATGGCATGTCGAGTCTCGACTCTCGTCGCACATTCTCTCGGCTCCATCGCGGGTGGCGCGGCGCCATGGTCAGCACGTCGCTGCTTGCTCGCTCGCGCCGCGTCGAGCTGAGCATTCGCGCGCGGGGGGGGGGGGGGGGGCAATGTCTTGTAACCGCGGCGCGCAATGCGTACGGCGGCGAAAGCCGCCGCGCTACTACTAGCAGTTGTTATCGAAGCGAGAACCGTCTCGCGAGAATGACATGAAAGTAGCGTCCAGGAGCCCCTAGTGCGGACGGCGGCGCAAAGCGATATTACCCCGAGGTTGTTCGACACGATGAGACATCGATTGCGGCGGCTGGGGATGGCACGGCAGCAGGGAAGCAGCGGCCGCAACCAGGTCACGTCGCCCTAAGCTGCTCGCATCGCCACGTGTCTGATGTTGGCCTTACGCCGTAAGTGCGGTGAGATATACTTGGCGCGGTTCAGGAGAGGCAGGGGAATAGATGGCGCTTCTGCGCTTCGTACGCCGTGTGGCCTCTATTTCTAAAACGACACGATTATGGCTCATGAGACGTCGACGTTTTTCAGTAAGCAGGAACTGAACTGAACACTAAACCGCCACGACGACTTGATGAGCTATCCCAAATAGAAGTTTAGCGCGATGGAACTGAGGCAAGGCAGAGCGCATCAATGTACACCAAGCTCTTGTTCCTGCAGCGGACGCGCGGGCCGCAGCCTTAGCAGCTAGTTGTTCACGGATTTGCCTAGTGGGCTGTGGAGAAGAACGTTTGGTGTAGTGAGCAATTGGGGATGGTAAGAAAATTCCAAGAGGGAATATGGCGGGGTTTTCTTGTGCTCTCCACTGGAGTGTTTGGAAGGAGGGCTGTTGTCTTGCCAACTCTTGTGGCGACACGCGGCGGAACATCCCCATGCATCCATGCATGGTATGAGCCGCCATCTGATGTATGGTTGCATAGACACTATATTCTATTTACTAGCACGCTGAGTTGGGCTGACCTATGAAACTCATCAATTTTGTTCCTACACATTGACAGGCATTAACACCTATATTTGTAAAACTCGAAATATTTTTACATTGTGAAAAATCGAATCGTCTTTCCAGAGTGAATTGGAAGGGAATCATCAAAAAATGTATAGATGTATACACTAGTTTAAAGCTCTTCAACAATAATAGAGTTTTTTAACTATTCTGATTTTAAATTTAATTATTAGAAGCGTGGATGCATAGTTATAATCGGGGACATTGCCAGGTATGCTGGTTTCTTAGGAATGACTGATCTGAAATCTGCCCAAAATGAATTAAAAACGTGACGATACATTATCGAATATCATGTGTACTATCAGTGTCTTGCTTCGAGTGGGGAGAGCACAAGAAATGCTTGCATGCGCCACGATCAGAAGAACCGAGATCGTTGCTGCGACGCGATATCGCTAGGCTACCAGCAGGCAACGGTACTTCCCTCGGGAGGGAAGGAAGAGCTATTGAACAAGGTAAGTGCCTGACAGAGAAAAAGGATTGAAAGCCCAGCTCCAAGATGCCCGAAATACGTTTAGGTGGTCTCAACAAGTGTCGGCCTCCGTCAAATAGGTGATCAGCACGGAATGTACAGTGGTGTTTTGTGGTGCAATATCAGTCCTGGAGTTTTTTTCTTCTCTTTGAAAGCACGACAAAGCCAAGCCTGAACGATGTGAGAATCTCCTGAAAGCCAATCACGCCTGTCTACTGAACGATAACAATGCACCTGATTGGAGGAAGTTCAGCGGAGCAGAGGCGAAACAGCTTACGTTTGGATTAACGAGCCTTAATTGGTTGGCTTCTAGACCAGCACGACAAGCTGTCTGCCCGACAACCGTAAAGGTTTCCCCCCACTATCACGTGCGGAGCGGATATCCTCCTTCCCCACCATTCTATCCTCTCCTCAACCCGAACCCGAACGCGTACAAACATGTTCGGTTCCTTGTCCAAGGTAAGGGCGCGTCCCCTCCCTCGATCGATCTGAGGGACAACTACAGTGTCGCAATTTACAGGGTAACCAGTTTTCAAGATGAGTTGCGAATGTACAGAAAATTGTGCCAAACGATCTGTCACCTCCGCCGACGACGATCTATATACTTTCATGCCCACACCGATCTGGGCTTTTTTACGATCAATGGTTTTTTCCCCGCAAAACTCTCGATCCTATCATCCTGGGCTCGAGATCAATTCGCCATCGCGAAGCTGTTGTCACCTCCTACCAATCTTACCCCGATCCTCCGATCGGTGTGCCCGATCGGTTTTTACAGCGATCTCACGATCGATCGATCGATCGATCGATCGTGAGGGGACGAGGGTTGTACTATGGGCGGCGTCAAGTTGTACACTTCTCGCACGTTCACATTTCTTATATGTATCTTGGCTCAAGGTTTACGGGTTTGCCCAGCGACTTAAAGCAAGGGTGCAATTTGGGGGGTGGGGGGAGGCAAATATTTATCACTTGCCTTGGGTGGTTACCCGGTTGGTGGTTGGGAGTGAAACGCCAACAGGTTTTTAGTCTTGGCGGACTTGCGCGGGTACTCTCTCCTCCGTTATTAGTAGTGACAAAGGTAATGGGAGTTGGAAACTTAAAGCTCGCGACCCAAATTGTTCAACCTTAGTAAGGTTGACCTTTGGGTGGTGGGAGAAGAAGTTGACTTGTTGGGAGTTGGGCTGTTTCCCTGGGAGCAACCTGGGTTTGCTTCGAGAGTCCCAAATTGCAATCAACATATAGTTGTTCCCTGCTCTCCCATTCGACAAAAAAAAAAAAACTGGCCAATCAGATTGCATCTCACTTCTCGTAACCACCCTCCGCAACCCAAACAGCACTCAAAACATCACCCCCGTCAACCTTAGTAAGCTTGGCCAGCGCGCCCCGCAATTTGGGCCGCGAGCTTTAAGTCAAGTCAAGCCATGCAGTTTGTGAACGAAAATGCGCATGACTCTCGTACCACAAGAGATGTATCCCAAGTAACGGATCATGAGAGCATTACTTTAGCTGACGATAAACTAGATCGTCAGAAAAGCACAGTTTAGACGTCGTCACAACATCGCTCCCGTGCCTGCCCATCACTCGCATCGCGCCCGCCCATTGCTTAATCTCGCAAAGCACTTCGATGCTGCACCCGCATATCGCCGGAACCAAGCGCGCATTTCGCGGCGACTGTGCACGTGGATCGCGCCTTGGGCAAACATGCGGAAGGACTACCGCGCACTCAAATCACTCCTCTCAAAGAGTGAAATCGAGTGCTATCCACCCACTCATGTCCTCCTCGTCAGTTCTCCCGATACCATTTCCCTATCCGTCCCATAGCGCGTGCTCCAGCTTTAGCCAGTATGGTAGTAGATTTTGCAGTTCTTAATCTGAAAAATTGGTGGGCTGGAGGGGTACGGGACGGACTCTTGTGTTGTTTGAGCAGCGAGAGTGTCAGTAGATCTGCATACAACTGGAGCCAAGGATCCAAGGTCGGTCAGCAGGTAGGTGAGCCAGCGAAGCTCCTGTGAAGCCATGGCCCCGGGGTAGATCTCAGCCTCACAACTGGAGCCGAGAATAGAAGACGAGCGAGTAGCTCGCCACGAAACAGAGCCGGAACCAAGGCTGAAGGTGTAACCCTGTGACGACCGCTGCGTAGCCTGGTCGTCAGCCCAAGAAGCGTCTGCGTGCCCAGTGAGGACCACTGGACTCCGCCCTCCAAGCACTAGCCCCATGCCCGACGTACTGCACAAGTAGCGCAACACCCTCTTCGCTGCAGCCATGTGCTCCGGTCTGTGTCTCCCAGGAGCAACATAGCGTGCGAGAATGCTAAGAGGGTATGCAAAGTCAGGTCGTGTGCAGGTCATCAGGTACATGAGGCAGCCAACGAGCTCTGGATACGGGCCACTCGACTCTACGGACTCATCCGAAGGCAGAGCTGAGAGCGAGTGGCGACTAGGCAGAGGAGTGGCCTGAGGCGAGGAGTACGTGAAGCCGAAGCGCTGAAGGACCTGTTGCACCATGTGTGACTGAGTCAGGGTAATGGTGCGGCGTGCTCTGTCCCGGGTGATCTGCAAGCCAAGGTAGCTGCGCAGTTCACCCAGGTCTGTGCACGTGTGTCTCTTCTGCAGCTCGGACTTCACGTGGGCGAGTCCAGCAGTGTCAGCAGTGGCAAAGACCAAGTTGTCGACGTACACGAGGATGTAGAACGGCGGCAAAGAGGTGTCGGTGCGTAGAAACAGCGACGGGTCAGCAGTAGAGGGAGCAAACCCAAGAGCCGCAAGCATAGTCCTCAGTGTGTCGTGCCACTCACGCGGTGCCTGGCGGAGACCATAGACTGGCCGTCGGAGACCAACACTGCTGATGTTTTCACCAAGGCACTTGCGCCTTGTGATCATTAGCGCTTTTGTACTCAGCTTGGTCTTGTGCCTGTCTTGCCTCACTTGCTCACTTCTTGACCTTGCTTGTACTCTTACATATATATACTCCTGCTCTTGCTTGCTTAGCCTCTTTTATATATATATGTGCTCCTGCATGTCAACTGGCCTTCTGGCCTTGAACTTGTGCTCGGAATGTGTGGTGACTTTGTGATCCACCCTGAGCTTTGCTTTGCTTTGCTTGACTGGTCTTGTGACCCCTTGTTCTCCCCCACTTTGCGTATGGGGGTGTGTCAAATTATAATGTTGTCTAGGCTTTAGTGGGGTAGCCCATATGGGGTACACATTTCTAGGGTT